CAGGAATGGGGAGGCCCAGGGAGCTGGGCACCCGATCCACGGCCACAGCCGGGAGCGATGGAGCGATGTCTCTTTAATGTGCCGCCTGCATCCCCTCGGTCCTTACCTAGTTCTTTCTCCCTCTGTGCGTCCTGAACCCGTTAAAAGTGACCCGAGAATACTGGATGGTATTGAGGAATTATCGTTAACCTTGTTGGGTGTGATGACAGTGATGTGGTTAAGGAGAGAGAGAGGAAAAAAAAAAAAAGACGAAATACTAAAAGTTTTGACAGATTAAATCAAACAAACAAACCAGCACTCGCTGGCCAACTTCAAATGGCCCAAATGCCAGGCCAAGTGCAGACGATGGGGTGAATTCACGTCACGGCCTACCTGGGTGAGGACGTCCAGCTGGCCTACAATGTGCTCCAGCGTGCTGGTCAGTGTCTGAGGAATGCTGACGGGCTCTTGGGGCTGGCTCTGCATCGACTCCTGACTCCTGCCCCTGCCTGGTGGGACGGGGGAATCCACTTCTGGCTAAAGACAATGAAAGGAAAGAGAACCCCTTAGTCTTGAGTCAGTGCTTGAGGAAACACCGAGAGGAAGATCTCCTTGAAGGATCAAGTGGAAAACCACCAGCAAACTCGAGAAGACGAGTTCCAAATGTTGGTGAGCAACGGCGGTGTGGCGGGACTCCCACATCCAGGCTTGCGCGCTCCCTTCCAACCCCCCTTTCTGAGCAGGGGCCATGAGTGAGGAGTGGAATCAAAGCACCTGGCAGTCCGGGCTGCAGGGGCCTGGGAGGGATGTGCAGGTGGGCTCTTGGAGGCCCTCAGAGAGGCCGGGGGCTGCCAGCTCTTCACACGGCATGCCGTCCACTAGGCCTGTCAGAGTGCGGGACCCCTGAAGCCCAGCCTGGCTCTGAAGTCACCCTTCCTCCTGGTTAGCTCAAGGTCAATTCCTCACCCCGGGAATGGGGATGGCCCAGAACCAGCGGGAGGTTCCAACCCTGCCCTGGCCAGATCCCCTGGGAAAACAGATTCTACATGAACATCCTGGCCTGATGGCTGGCGGGAGTCAGAATCCACAGGACAGGTGCCGCGGGCTGCTTCAGACAAGACTCCAGGAACATGAGGGACTTGGTGTTTCTGCCTAAGATCCTCAGTTCCCAAATGCAGAAGCCATCCTCCTCCTCCTCCACCACCACTGAGGGCAAGTGATTTCCTAAGGGGGCTCATTCCAGTCCAATGCGTGTCCCCCAAATGTCAGGCACTGCTCTGCACATAGACAAAGGCTTCTCCTGACCCCAGAAGCATCGTGCACGTGTTCAGCGGGGTAGAATGCCGGGAGCCTCCCAAGGACACGGTGGGCAGATGCTCAGGAACCTACAGTTCCTCTGTGGACTCGCCCCCTGTGGGAATGACATGCTCAGTGAGGCCAACACTCTCGGCCAGCCCCCAAACCCCAGTAACCCATAAATGCAGCCACACTTGGGGCTCAGTGTTTTCAACCACAGCCTCACTGATGGACATTCCAAATGTTACCACATCATTCCCTGGCTTTGCCAGTCATCCAGGGCTCTCTATCGGCACTGGGAGAAAATTCAAAACCCTGGACGGGGCACCCTGCTCCTGCCTGCCTCCTTCCGCAGCTCCGCTCCCACCTCAGTGCTCCCGTGCCCAGCTCCCAGGGCCCCTCATCTACCCTTCCTTCCCCCTGCTCCGAGCATCCTGTTCTCCACTCACCTTGCAACCCCCCATGCCCAATCAGAAGCTCCTCTGTGCTCCGCACCTGGGCCTGCCCCGTCCCTGCCCTGTTCCTCCAACCACTGCGTCTCCAGGGCCAGGACACATGAGTGGGATGAATCAATGCCACACCACCCACAGGGCCTGCCACCTGCCCATGTGCCTGTGTCCCCTATTCCTGTCTTCTGCTTGCACTCATCGCTCCTCTCCCCTCTAAACCCAGGGCATCACTAGGCTCAAAGCTTGTCAACTCCCCATACACCACAGTGCCAGGGTACTCCACCCAGCACTCCTCCACCCCTCAATGCCACAGCCACTGGAGAATACTGGCTATGACTGGGGCTCACCTAGGATGCCTCACACCTGCCACTGGCAGCCGGCTTGCATCTCCTCTGAGTTGGCCCATCTTTTGGATAAATCCAGTGGCCTAGCCCCAGGAAGATGCTCTGCCCTGGACATGTTCACCTGGGCAGGCCTCAGAGTCCTTGAGAAGAATCAGCCCGGAAGAGGATTCCCAACCATCATAGAAGGGCAGTTTAGCACGTGGACCCTACCTGCACATTTTCCTTTATTAGGAAAGTGTTCTAATCTCATAGATAACAAACTCTCAAGTGCATGTCGATTTGAACTTGGAAAAATGCAGGCCCTGGTGGTTAAAGAGAAATTGAAGGTGAGACACAAGCCTGAGGAGGATTCTTGAAAGCAGGAGCAGGGCCATGTCCACATGCCCACCATCGGCCTGTCTGCTTGCAGCACTGTGGGCATTTTGTAAGACCTCGGCCCACCAAGGCTAGACTCTTCCAGTCCTCCAGGAATTGACACACTTCAGCTCTCAAAGTCCACCCCAAAAGGAAATGTTCCAGAAGCCTGGCCTTCACCTCACCGCAGCGGCCCCCAGACCCAGGCAGTGCTGTCGGGAGACAAAGCAGAGTGCAGCGGGGAAGAGCAGTGACTCGGACAGGCCGTGGTCGATATCTGAGCTCTACCACTGACCAGCTAGGCGGCCCTGGGCAAGAGGTTTAATCCCTCTGGGCCTCCACTTCCTCATCTTCTATAAAATGGGGGTGATGACTGGGCCTGCCCTTCCAAGGGCTGGGCTGTGAGAGGTGCTTATCTGCAAATCACCCACAGGCCTTTCTTGAGAAGCCAGTGCCTACTGCTTCCAAAGGACCCCCTTCCAGACCCGCACGCTCTGCCTCTGGACACCGAGTCCCCCTGGCTCCCTCAGGAAAGGGCACCAGAGGGAGGGTGGGAACCTGGCAGCCCTCTGTCCTGACAGCCAGACGGGCGCTGCCTGCTGCCTGGGAAGGAGGGGATGGAAATTCTGAGTGTTTCTGCAGAGCGGCCCAGAAATGGACAGTGCCGAGCCGAGTCTCTAGAAGCAGGGGTGGGGGGGTGAGCGCCGCTGACTTTACCAACAGGAACCCTCCTTCTGAGCCCAAGCCCAGCCAGCTCCAAGAGTACTGAGGACCGCAGCCACATGCCCAAGCCAGGGAGGTGGGCTCTGGAAGAGGGGGCTGCAGGAACCTGAGGCTCAGACAGCAAGTGACTGTCAGAAGGTACCCAGCCTCCAGCCTTGCTCACAAGTCCAGGGTTCTGCCTGCCCTGGGCTATTCCTCCAGCCACAGCATTCGCTCCTGCTCTTACCTTCACCAGGACACAGCCCTTCTCTGCAACCTTGTCCGCTCTTACCAGAAGACATTACAGCACTTGACACACCACACGTAAAGATGGCTATCGCTGTGGTTTACTTGCCACCCATGTGCCAGCATTTTATACGTCACTTCATTTACTCCCTACAATGACCCCTCACAGCAGGCACTACTAACCTTAATTTTCAGATGGGGAAGCAGGCTCAGGGAGGTTAAATCACTTGGTCTAATACAGGAAATGACGGCTGGGATCTGAACCCAAAGTACAGGCATTTCCTGACAGGAAGCAGCCTCTGACAGGTGACATGGCCTGCGGATTTGCTTCCACACCCCCAGCTCCTCTCTTCCATCCTTGTGGAGGCTCCTGGCTCCTGGCTCTAACACTCTTTGCGTCATTCCCCCACCCCACCTGCCCTGGAATGCCTGCCTGGCACAGAGCTGAACACAGAGCAGGCCCTCCACACACACTCGATGCCTCAAAGAACCAAGCCCATCATGGTGACACTCCTGTGAAATGACACCTCCCCAAGGCAAAGGGCCAGCAGTCCCGCCCCGCACAGCATCGCAGGCACTCACCTGCACTCCAGCACTCTGCAGATGTAGCATTTCCCCAAGAGCTCAGCAGATAAGCGATAAAGCAAGAGATAAGAAGATGATGGGCAAGAGCAGGAAGAGACACACTGCGAGGGCTGTGACGGGATAACAGGAGCAGTGTTTAAGGGGAGAAATCCTATCAGTGCTTTGTCTGTTCCACATCCAAGAGTACTAGGGGCCCTGCCTGGTGGTCCTCGTTAGTTCTCTCACAAGTAAGATTACAACAACATTAACCCAAACACACATACCTAGAAAGTCACACCAAGTGGACAACTTTCACTTGTACCAAATATAAACATCTTAACATCAAAAGAAAAAAAATTGATCAAACTCAGAATAGATGAATCTATTTAACTTCGTGGCGATCTCATTTGGGGTCTGTAGGTGTCCCCACCCTGGTGTGGGATCCCGGGCTCTCACAGTAGTTTAATCTACATGCCTCAGTTTCTGTTGCTGGAGCCTGTCATACGCCACCATGAGCTCGGCACTGCGCACAGTAGGAACTGCGTAAATATCTGTGGTTGCTTTCAGCCACTCAAACACATGGGTAACCAACCCATATATTTTCATTAAAAAACAAAACAGCAGGACTTCCCTGGTGGCGCAGTTGTTAAGAATCCGCCTGCCAATGCAGGGGACACGGGTTCAAGCCCTGGTCTGGGAAGATCCCACATGCCACCGAGCAACTAAGCCCACGAGCCACAACTCCTGAAGCCTGCGTGCCACAACTACGGAAGCCCACGTGCCTAGAGCCCGTGCTCTGCAACAAGAGAAGCCACCGCGATGTGAAGCCCACACACTGCAATGAAGAGTAGCCCCCGCTAGCCTCAACTAGAGAAAGCCCGTGTGCAGCAACAAAGACCCAATGCAGCAATAATAAAATATAAAATGAATAAATAAATCTTTAAAAAAAAATTTAAAAAAACAACAAAAAAAACACAAAAGAGCAGAGCTTGCAGGTCTTCCTTGTGACAAGAAATCAATCCATCTGGGATAACTTCTTGACTGGTCTCTGGACTGCCTATGGTCTCACCTTTTCATCATCAAGATGCAGGTGTGGATAAGAAGCTTCTGCCTAAGGTAGAGAAAGTTGGGGGAAGTATAAATCCTATCCTAACAAGAAAAAGAGCAACAATCTAAAAGGATCTTAACTTTTCTTAAATCAGAGAGCTGAGATCACAGAGCAAACAACTAGCCTGAAATCTAAGGAAAGGCAGACTCTTCCAAGGAAAACAGGAAGTGAGCATCGGCTCACTTCTGGCAAAGCCTGGGAAGAAGGGACGCTGAGTGCCACATAAGTGGGTGAGAAGAACTGAGTTATGCATGTTAACAAGTTGCAGAGGCTGAGAGTGGCCAGGGTGAGAATGAAGAACCCCTGGGAGCCACAGATACAAGGGGAGTTTGTACCTGCTCGCAGGGTCTTCTCCACAGACCTCCGCTGGGCATTCATGAGAAAGACCAGGTGGGGGGAAAAAAACATCCTTGAGGGTGCAGGCCTGGAAGAGGGGAGTAGACACGGAAAAGGCACGAAGCCCTGCCAAGACCC